CCCCGACGCCGCACCGGCACCCAGGTTGTTCCCCCCGGCCATCGTAGACGACCCACCGAGGCCCTCCACGGATAAACCAGCCATGCCGTCGGCCAGCCGTGCCTCGTCCCCGCCGACCGCCGACCCCGCCGCGGCTGCGGCCCCAGCTGCCGCTTCTTGCTGCTGACGTTGAAGTTGCTGCTGCTGCCGCTGCTGTTGCGGCTGCTGCTGCGGCGGCTGCTGTTGCTGCGGCGGCGGGTTCTGCTGGTCCTGGGCTGCCAATGCCATTGCGGCAGCCGCGCCCGCCACAGTGGCGGAGGGAGGGACACCGCCACCACCGCTGCTGCCGCCGCCGTCGGTGATCGAGGCATCCACCGACGAACGGATACCGTCGGCAGGCCCTTTTCCGAGATTTGGATGCGAATCCATGTCGCCCCGAAAACAGGGGAAACGTAGACGCGAAACTTCTCCCGTCCAATACGTCACGCCACGAAACGTCACGTGCCAAAAAGAAACGTCACAGCAGAAAACAACCCTTGGCCACCACACGCACACGAAAAATAAACGTCACAGCAGAAAACAACCCTTGGCCACCACACGCACACGTGCTCTCGCTCGCCCCCGGTAAACACGGCGAAGCGAGTAGACTGAAAACAGAACACCAACACGCTCGTCCGCTTCCTGCTTTCTGATTGGCCAAGGTTTATTTCTGCCGCTTCTCACAAAACGCAGATTTCCTTTACTTCGTCAGACAATCTTTCGCTTTTTGCAAAATTCATACACGGAGCCCCCAAACACGAGATACCCCTATGCATTCACGGAACCCCCTAACCGTGCCCCCGAAGAGCCCTCTTGCCCTCTATCACCTGCTCTAAATACACCACGACACCCCCTGTTTGCATTTGTACAGATACTAACTACGCTTGCTCGACAACGTCCTCGAAGGTCAAGCACGCCAATGTATAAACGTGAACGAATCTCTACACTCCGTACAGTAGTCTATACACGTAAAAAAAAAAAATAGACATCACTACACTATGCGATACAGCATGCACTAAACTAAGCAAAACCTCGGGAGCAGTCAACCCTTTGCGGGTGCTAAAAAAAAATAAAGATCTGGTTTACGCACGTAAAGACACACACATCACGGTGTTGTCGGCCTCCTTCTCCTCTCCTCCCTGCGCGATGGCGCGCTTCCTCGTCCACTTCTTGAATGCCCTTTTCGCCTTCCTCGTGGAGAAGGTTCGGCATTCCTGTGAAGCCGCCAATGCCTTCGCCGTGGTGGCGTCCTTTTCCGCTTGTGTCCCTCCCCCCCCCGTGGCCTCCACGACTACACCACTCATCTATGCTAAGCCCATGGCCCGAAGCTATCGACATGTTGCCGATGCTGCCGTTGCTGCTGCGGCGCAACTCCAAAACGCCGCCGCCGCCGGGAGAGCTTGTGTGCGACTCAACCTCTAAAACCGCCGCTGACTTCTCTGCTGGGCCAACCTCACCACTAGCAGAGGAGCTCTCCTCCTCTTCCTGCTGCTGCTGCTGCTGCTGCTGCGACTTCCGGATGAACACTCCCATAGCTCGTGCCAAGCCTACTGCTTGTTGCTGGACAAGTTTTTTTCTGTTGCGAAATTGCTGACTTCTCGACAGCACACGCATCGGATTTTTTTTCGCCGCACTTCCTGCATCGCGACCTGCAGACGCCACCGACCACTTCGCAAAACTCAGGATTGACTGACCTCTACCATTGCTGTGTGCGCCGCTGGTATCCTCATCGCACCAGTCCTCGTCGTTACCATCCTCGTCTGCCGCCGCCTTGCCTTCTTCCTGATCCACGTCCATCAAATCGGCGCTGTCGTGGCCGTCGGAGAGCGCATCACCAGCGCCACGTGACGGAAGATCATGTTGCTGCGCCGGCTTCGGTTTCTTCGGAACCGCCCGGCCATCGGCTTCGCACTTGCCGATTTTCTTCTTCTTAGGCCTTGCCATGGTGCTTGCTTGCTTGCGTGCGTGTCTCGTGTTGTACGGGCCGCCACGTGTGCCAGTTTGTTGTGGGAGCGTCTTGCCCAACAGCAAAAAATTCTCCGATAGCACGGCACGACAAAATGTGGAATATCTCGAGAACCAGAGTTTTCCCGGGAAAAACAAAAAATACACATCTAGAGACTGATGAGAGGAATCGTTTGCCGCTGTTTATTTTGGAATCGGTTGGTTAGTTATTGTGCTGTAATCGAAACAACTTGACCCAGCGTGGCTTTCCCGTTTCTTCAGTGAGGCGCAAATGGTTGGTAGCTCCCCAACAGGATATCTCCAGTGATCTGCAGATTACAGTGGGTGTCCCGATATAGTGCCGGTTGAACAGTGCCAACGTCCGGTACAGTGCCGGTGAAATTTCTCGACACAGACACCGGCCTGAATAGTGCCGGTTTGGCACTATTCAGGGCTGCCCACTACAGTGCCGGTTCAGGCACTATCGAAACCGTCAATAGTGCCGGTTCAGACTCTGCCCCCCTTCACAAGACACCAGGGACGCAGACGCCATACACACGCCTCACACCACCCGTTGGGGTACTCGTGCTGCTGCTGAAGACCCTACCAGCTCTACGCAGAGGCACACCATGCCCTGTGCGGAAGGCGAACTGTGCCGCGTGAGGGCCACCACGCCACAAGACCCTCATGACCATGTTTGCCAGAGAGGATGTGGCGGGCGGCTCCACGGCCTCTGCGGAAGCATGTTTGACGATAGAGACCAGCATCGCATATGCAGTGCGTGCATCACCAAGGCTGGCAAGCGCAATGCGAACGCACCTGAGGGTGCTGGGGCGAGACCACCTTAACGCCAGAAAGAGAACGGGGGGAATAAGGCGGTTCGCGTGCGCGGCTGGACATACAGCAGAAGGTCGAGATTCTGAAGCTGCTGGATAATATGGTCTTTCATGAGCAGATAGCAGACCGCTTCGGGTGCTCGGAACGGTTGGTTCGCAAAACCAAGGCCCAGCGGGAGTCGGTGGAGAAAGAGGCTGCTGCAGCAGGTGACGGCGGCGAGAAGAGCATGCGCAAAGGAGGTTTTCCGGAGGTGCGCCACACTGCTGTGTCAGCTTGACAGTCTTTGTTTTTCCTGGTCTACTTTTCCGTGGTTGTTCCCTCTCTTTTTTTCCCCGCGGCACATATTTTGATTCGTGTATGTTTTTGTTGTCTTTTTTTTGTTCCCGCAACACAAACTGCACACACACCCTGTGCAAGTTTTTTACACACCTTCGTTGAGCAGGAACGGTTGTAGAGCACTCTTTCTTTTCTTTTCTTTTTCTTTTCTTTTTCTGTTTTCTGTTTAAACATTCAGGAAGCAGCAAAAGGTGGGTGCTTTCAATCTACACGCCCATTAGTGCTTCAATCCCGACTCCGCCACTCAAGATAGGACACACGTCAAACTTCGAAACGACCAGTCGATCTTATGCCCCCTAAAACATCTTTGCACTTTTGTGTTTTGGCGGCAGGTGGATGACATTGTTTTGGCTCCACTTGCGAAGGCCAGGAAGGCCAATATGCCCGTCGTGCGCGATAGCATCCGGAGCTTCGGCCGCTCGGCCAAGGCAACTCTGCTGGCCTCACCCGCTACTTATGCAAGGGTCAAGGAGAAGGTCCAGGATTTCCAGGCCGGCGACAAGTGGTGCAGGAACTTCGTGAAATGAAACAGCATCCAGACCACTAGACTTCATGGCGAGGCTGGCAGCGTCGCCCACGACCTCATCGAGAAGGAAATGGGCGAAGTCAGGGCCCTTTGCGCGAAGTACCCGGCGAAGTTCATCTTCAACGTCGACGAGGCAGGCATCCAGTGGAAGCTTATGCCTAGGCGCATGCACCTTTCCCCCTCGGAGACCCGGAAGGCGGCGCGTGGCTCGAAGGGCATGACCTTCAAGGATCGCTTGTCTTGCCATCATGTGCAGCAACGCGGACGGTACTCCAAAGGTGGACATGACCATCATAGGGAAGGCCAAGGAACCCCGTTGCCTAACGGGCATCAAATGCCCTGTCACGTACTTCTCGCAGACTAACGCGTGGTCGGACACCGCGGCGTTCCTCAAGTGGTGGCGTGAGTTCTTCCTCCCGTTCGTTGGACACCTCACGCACGAACCTGTGCTGCTACTAATGGACGGCTGCTCATCTCACGCTGATCTAGAGGTTGATCGCGTCAAGTGCTGCCCTCCGAACTGCACCAGCGTACACCAGCCCATGGATCAGGGGATCATCGCCAAGACGAAGGTGGTGTACAGGAAGGAGCTGGTAGACATCAAGACGTCAACAATCTTCGTGGCTGAGACACTTGGCGACCAGGCCAAACAACTCAAGATGAAGGCCGGGACGATGGGGCTGGCGCAAGGGCACCACCCTCACCTGCGGGATGCTGCTGAGCTTCTCCAGAAGGCACGGGCCAGCGTTACCGCCAGGGACATCGCCAGGTCAGGTTTGCATATTGCTGTCGCTATTCGTAAATATATTCTGTTGGGGTAGACACTTCTCGTTTTCGGCAACACTTGTAAGGCTAACTATGACATGTTTTGTTCGTGGGGTCGCCTAGCTTCCCATGATTCACCGAAAACGTACTGCATCTCTGTTGTGCTTTTCCTCAACCCAGGTGCTTCGTCAAAGCCAACACGCTTCCGGTGGAGATGGCGGCTGCACTCACCGCCGCACACGGCAAAGCCAGAGACCGGATTGCCGAGCCCGAGCACAAGGCTCTCACGGCGAGTGTGAGCGTCTTGAGCACGAGTGTGCAAGAGGCGCAGCAGCAGGGCTCCAGCATCCAAGACGAAGACATCTGTGATTTGTTGGCGGAACTCAACATCGAGCCGGGAAAGCCTATCGCCGAGGAAGCCGTAAACGCGGTTCAGCATTGGGCTACCATCGAGGATGAGGATGACGTGGTAGAGGCTATGCGAGGAGACGCCGTGGAGGAAATGACGGCACAGCTGGCTGGAACGCTCTTGTCCACCGGCTCAGAGGAGGGCGACGAAGAGGAGGAGGATGGTGGCGATGACAACACTGGCCGCGGGCCGCGGGCCCCACCGGCTTATGCTGAACCGTCGTCCCGGTTCGGAATCCTGGAGAGGACAGCGATCGAGAGCGGGAACGAAGCCGCCGCCTGCCGCCTGTCGAAAGCGAAGATGGCGATGATTGCAGCACATTCCGCTAAGCCAACGCGCCAGGCAGACTCGCGGGAATTTGTCGAGGTGGATTGAGGGCAATGGGGATAGATCAGCAAACGGCGGTTTCCTGACGTGTTATTTGCGGTGGTTCTTCCTTCTGAATGCTTGCCTTTTTTTCTCTAGTTTCATCGAAGGAAGAGTGAGGGTTGTTTTCTTCTTCACTCCTTTGGGTTGCGTTCGCCATGTGTTGTCGGTGTAAGGAGTCCTAGTCCATGTTTACTTAATATGTGCATCGGGTGCGTGCATGAGTGTTTTTTTTTTCGCTATCGAGGGGTGCCTTTGAGGTTGCCTGAATTGTGCTACGGCTTTCTTGCCACAATAAGGCCATCATGTTCACTTGTTTAGCTAGGTGCCTTTTGAGTGGGCAGCACGGTCTACGGTTTGAAGGCAGCAGTAACGTTTCACTAACGTAATGCGTGCGCTGAGGTGGGAAGAGAACAACTGTGCAACAAATCCATCTCGCAAAGTCCACGTACATGTGACTAAATGTCGTGTTTTTGACAGTCCAGGAGCCTCACAAAACATATTAGAAGTCCGCCCACGTCGCCCACCTCACGATTGATCTGTATGCCGTTCGTTTGGTACTCTGTCAGCCCCGTAAAACGTAAACGATGCGCTCTGAAGTCGAACAGTCCACAACAGTGCCAAGTCGGCACTTTTCAGGGATTGTCGGACATTTGAATAGTGCCGGCTTGGCGCTATTCATGCACAATTCTGAATAGTGCCGGTTCCCGGTACAGTGCCGGTCAAATCGCCTGGACACATACCGGCACTATATCGGGACACCCACTGTACCCTTTATTCAGTCCCAACCACAAGGTTGAGGCGATTATCCCCATGAAAGGTCTCAAAACGCTATGCATTCGGCCGTGGATCCTTTTGCCCGTACACCCCCTTAAGACTGTAGCCGTCGCATATAGACTATGGCTGGTGTAGAACTGCGGCTGTCGCCAACACGGCCATCCTTCAGAGTGGTAGCCGTCTGGTAGCAGCGAGCGCGTTCGAGCCCTTCTTTTTAACATAAGCGGTATTCACTGAGACCTACTGTAGGTAAGTTTTGCCGTCTGTGTTATCTGTCGTAGCCCAGAGCTCGACAAGCATTTGAACTGCGCCGTGTGTTGTTGTAGAATCCGTTTCGGCGGCTGGGGGGGTACTCATAGTCGTGCATGCCGTAGTCGTTAGACCATTGACCTCGCATCCCTACAAAGCCGG